TATTTTGTGTGCGGCAGTCGTCCGCGAGGGGCTGCCGCTTTACTTTCATTTTGTGTTCGTTTATTTTATTAAAATCTTAAATGTTCGCCGGTTCCCGCCTCCTTCTTCCCGACCTACGAACGTTGTTACACTCACCTTTGCTGAGGAGCATGTGGTGTGGACAGAGGAGAACTCGTCCAAAATTCACTTTAGTGATGAGAGCAAGTTTAATTTACTTGAGTCCAATGGGAAACATTTTGTTCGGTGTCAAACTGGGGAAGATTGAACCCAAAGTGTGTAAAGAAGTCAGTGAAAGGAGGAGGAGGAAGTGTCATCGCAATTTTGAGTGATGAAGATTAACAAAATGTCCGTAAAATCAAGTATTTATAGATTGTTCTCTAATTTTGATCTCCACTGTATATTCATATAAATCAAAAGTTTTATATTTATCTGTTTTGTTTTTTTTATTTGATCATGTCTTCATTAGATTCTTTCCCTCACTACAGCCGTTAAGTACACAATCTTATACCTTTGTCTTTTCGTCTGATTTTCAAATACATTTTGTTTCAACTCCAAGTTAGATTGTTCTCTAATTTTGACCTCCACTGTATATTATTCATATAAATCAAAAGTTTTATATTTATCTGTTTTGTTTTTTTCATTTGATCATGTCTTCATTAGATTCTTTCCCTCACTACAGCCGTTAAGTACACAATCTTATACCTTTGTCTTTTCGTCTGATTTTCAAATACATTTTGTTTCAACTCCAAGTTTGTGATGTTGTGATTCATGTCATAGCTGGCTGCTTTAGTACATGGCTTATAACTCTTTTTAAAAATGAAAAATGAATTTAAAAAAAAATCTTCTGGAACCAATGATGCAAAAAATGGTAAACGGGCACTGTTAGGAAAATACCGTATTACATGGCTCTCTGGAAAACTTGATTCTGATTGGCCAATTAGAGACAAACATGAAAACCTTTACAAATGCAGACAAATTAAATTTTATACAAATCTTTTATTTGGCATTATACAAGGATATAACAGGTGTAACAGGCTACATATATTTCTGTGGGTATAAAAGTCAAAGTAAGTTCTACAGAAATGTGTCGTCTCCAGGTGTAGACACACAATGCTGTTGGGAATGAGAGAGTGTCATGCTGAGGTCAGCAGGGGCAGTGCTGTGCATGTCCAACATTATACATACATTTCTAACATTCATATTCTCTGCTAATGCCATAAAATGTCCACTTTTGTTGATTGTTATTGAAAAGAATTCTCAAAAATCCCTTTATCAACCATTGATTTGGCACATCATGTGATAAATTGTGTTTATTAATGCAAGGCAGCAATAAATACTCTTATGAACAGACAACTAAGCATGCTGACAGACATAAAAGTTCAAGTGCAGGCTTATCTTTTTCTGATAAACACATTACATTCTAGAATTTCAAATGGTTGTAACATTTTTATTTCTAAGAAATATTGGCCTCTGTGGAAAAAAGTACACAATCTTTCTTCTGGTCAAAATTAAAAAAATAAGAGTCTATTGCTGACTCACAATATTCAAATGCCCCTTTAAATTGCATAAATGTTTGATTGGCTCTGTGTCTGCCGTACACACCGTTACAAGCCTGCAGAAAGCAAAGACAAAAACATCAGTTGCCTGGAGACAGCCGTCAGTTCCATATGACCACTAATAATCATAACAACCTCAGTAATTACCATACAAACAGCCTTTAATATTTGAGCATGTCAAAGATAAATGTGAGAATGGAAAAATGAGCCGATCCATGTCATGCTGCACATTCACAGGCGTGTGTACGGATGAGGTCAGAGGAATCGGCACCCAGCTTTGGGTCGGTTAGTCCAGTTCCACCACAAAGCTTAACTGGCTGCATGTGACTATACAGGCTTGTCTGCCCTCTTCAACTGTAAAACCTCGGCTGGGCACGAGAAGTCAAACCACAGAGGAGACACTTTCGTCATTACCGTGACTCTCAGCTGCCACATGCTCGAGTGGCACCCAGCTAAGTCAACAGAAACGAACATCGGACGGCCTCTTTCCAAAACACTGGGACCTCATGTAGTGTCAGACTGCTGTAAAAGTGATCTCACAGTGCATTGTGGGTGCTATATATTTATGTCAGTCAATGAGGCCTGAGTCACTTATTGTAATTTTGATGAACTTAATGTGAAGGAATGCTAAAACCACCATCATCATTTTAACTGAATGTCTCTAATTTTGTTTCTTAGGAGAATTAATACGGCAAGACTATGACCCAAATCTTCTGTCAGACGTTTTTCAGAGAGTAAGATTCATAAGATTAATTCACAGGCAATTAGTTGGCCGTCTGTGAGCATGATGGACTGATGTGTTGGAATGTTTACCTGAGAACACTGATCTCTTGCTGGCATCTCTCACTCCACTTGGATTACCTAAAAAGAGCCAAAATACAGAAGAAAAGCTTGTAAATGGTTTCATGCTGAGAATTTTCAAACATATAATTCAATATAATAGAATGAGACACCTAAACCAAAACCTAAAAATCAGCAAAATAGTTTGAGGCAGGCAAGATTTTTAGATGTTTTTGAAAGAAGTATTTTATGCTTACCAAAGCTGGATTTATTTAATTAAACACCGTAAAAACGGTAACATTGTGAAATATTATTACAAATTAAAACAACTGTTATGTATTATAATATATTTCAAAATATAATTTATTCCTGTGAAGGAATAAATTATTCTGTCTTCAGTGTCATATGATCCTTCACAAATCATTCTGATATGCAGATGTGGTGCTCAAGAAAGATTTATTATTAATAATAATACTGAAAACAGTTGTGATGCTTAATATTTTTGTGGAAACTGTAACAAAACTTTGATTAATAGAAAGCTCATAAGAACAGCATTTATTTGAAGTAGACATCTTTTGTAACAATGTACAAAATTGTAATGTGTCCTTGCTGAATAAAAGTATTAATTCTTATAAATAAATAAATACACAAGCAAACACACATGCTTACTGGGCCCAAACTTTTAAACAGTAGGGTAAGCTAAAACTAAATTTCCAAATTAGGTTTGCAGTCATTTTGCGTTGATTTTGGCAGATTTAAATATAACGCTTAAAATAGAGCTATGCTTACTTGTATTCGCAGCTGAAGATATTACCAAATATACAAAAATATACAATAAATGAATATACAAATAGCGGAGGTTGTGGAAAACGGGTCTTCCAGTTCTGTGGATTTCTACATGGAGATTTTGTGCGGTCCTGCCGATCAGTCATAGTAAAATATACAAACATTTTTATACTAACATCAAACTACTAAAATATTACATTTGAGAAATCAAACTTCCCTACAGATCATAAGCCAGAGTTATCAGTTCTCATTAGGAAAGGGAGTCGTTATATTAAAGGCATGAAATTCGAAATGAATGGAGCAGTGGCTGAAATGTTTTAAGGGTTAGTGGTTACCCCATTGTGGGCGTTCCTGCAATAACAGGAAATTGTTATGGAACTTGTTCTTTGCCATGCACTTGATGTCTATTCAGAAACCTGTGTTGGAAAACAGGCTAAACTCCAACAGACAGCATCAACAGTCACTGTGGCAGCCAATCAGCAAATGTTCTGAATGCCAAATGCTGGCAGTGCCAGGCTTTCTCACTAACAGACTGTGCCTCATGTTCCTTTAAATGACTGGGCTGGCACGACAGTTCCAGCAAGCACGCTTGTTAGCACAGTATACTTAATTTACGCAAGATATGTTTTTGGCAAAATGGAGCCTGTCATGTGTAGTTACATTTCATTTGATAGCAGGGCTTGGATTGCTTGTATAATATTTTGCTTGTCTATAAATCTTTGGACGTTTCTCTGGCAGTGTGATTGTGTGCTCCAAACATATGTCGAAATCATTTGTTTACCAAAGAAATATTATACCAGATCTATAGCAAATATTTGCCTAAAAGTGCTTCTGAGTTTAAGTTGAAAAGGTACAGAATCCACAGTAACATTTTCTCTGAACTTTGCATTTTGTTTTGCATCTGGCATTTTGTTATTATGAAAAAGCTCTTCATCACAGACAATTGTCTTCATTCTGATAAAAATCACAATCATTCTTACATAATCCATGAACTCAAAGACATTCTCTCAGGGCTACAGCTTTGATATGCTACAATATTGAGGTCATTAACAGACTAATGGCTCATGAGGGACATGGAGATTCTGGCCATGTCACGTTCAAAGAGTGAAAAATGAGGCCAGCGGTATTTATTAGCGATGACGGACCGTGATTTGGACAAATAATAATCCTCTAATGACTCTAAGCATGCTTAAATCTTTCAGACACCCACTGGAATGGAGATCTAAGATATGTTCATGAGACCATATCAACATAATTAAAGTGTCCGATGTTTTTCAACCTTAAAGCCACACATGCTGCAGTCTTGCGTATGTGGAGACTAAGGGAAGCTGTAAAAGTGCTGCTTGGAACCGGCTCCCTCAACCTGACTCATTTATTTCCAAGGGACGAAAGCTCAGATATCATCATTATAGGCCTCTACAGAATTTAAACCATAATGCCACTGTAGAGAGATATTCACTATATTCATAAGAATTACCACTTAATTCAATCGCTGTGTAAAAGATCTTTTAAACTGGCAAAAATAGTAATATGACACCTCCAAAGTTGATTTTTTTTATGTTGAATATGAAACTACACTTAAGGCCCGTTCACACCAATAATGATAACTATAAGGATAAATATATTAGTGTCCACACCAACACACGATAACACGATTCTGTTTGTTATAAATGTGAACAGTTTTGTCATCTGCCGCTTTAAATGTTCAATCTCTTTATACTGGATTCTGATTGGCTGTTAATGTTTTTATCATTCATCGGCTGGAAAAAATAGTTTTGAAAAAGGATTCCAACAATTTTGTTCTTCTGTGTCGCTATAGCTGTGGTGTGAACATTCCTATTCTCAGAATTAGAACAAATTTTAAAACTGTAACAATAATCGTTCTAACTCTATGAGAACAGTGAAGTCTGAGCCACAACTACAATGATAATGACACAACTGCATTGACAGCCAATCGGAATCCACCTGATTTTAAAGAAGCCGAGCATTTAAGTAGATGACAAAACTGCAGCGTGTGCTTATAATAAACATAACATTATTCTGTGCTAATGTGGACGGTAATACATATTTCATTGTAGTTAGAGTTATATAGCCTTTATGCAAATTAGGTAATAGCATAAACACACCCACAAAAACCAGCATTATATAGAAAGGCGGTGTGTCTGCAATGACAGTTGCTTTTTTAGCTGTATTTATGGATTGTTTAAACTGGGTTAAACTGGATTGTGGGTGGTGTTTGCACCAAAATGCATTTTGCACCAAAGTGGTTTAGTGAATTTGCCCCTCAAATCTTGATGTCATGATCTGGTCAGTGGATGGGACGGGGTCAGAGATGTAATACTCACACTTGTCCTGCTCGGGTGGTTCCAGACAGTCACTCTCCGGGTCACTGGGGATTCGCCAGGGCTTCCTGACCGCCTGCAACTGCTGGTAAAACTCATCCTAGTAACACATATGATGGGAACAGAGAAATACATCATAACAATGACAACTTGGTTTGATACTTTGTTATATAATGTAATTAAATTAATTCATTTTTTTGGCCTGAATTTAATTGTCCAAAAGTGTCTAAATGCTTTCAGGGTCTTGCTGAAGCCTAAGCCTTAGCTTGCTTGTATCACTACTTGAACAGACTAGTCGTTTGGCTGGTTTTAAAGGGGGGTGGGTACTTTTTAGATGGTGAAGTTGGGAAATCAGCTGGCCGCCCAGCTTGACTCCAGCTTGGCCAGGCTGGGAGACCATCTTAAACCACCAAAAACCAACTTAAGATGGTTTAAACAGCAGAGTTTAAGAGTACAACAGCATAGCCTTAAAACTACTATCAACTAAATACTACAAAACTCCAATTTTGATTTCAAGAGTTCTTAGAGGACATAATTTGCTTCAATATGCATTGAGTGTAATGATGGATCAGTGAAAACTCTGCAGAAAGGTGGAGATTTGAAAAACAACCAAATCCCCTGTGAACTGGAAACCCAAGATGTAGAGGGCATGGGCCTGTGCATGTCAGGCCCATTCGTTCTACAGATGTTTTTATTTTCTTTTGAAATAATTACACCTCTGAGTCGAATCCTCTGAGCCAACCTCTAATAAATAAATTGCCCCCTGTTCGCTTCTAAAGACTTTTATGTGTTCTTATCTCTGGTACAGGCCAGACAGGAAGCATTCATACATCTACGCCGCATTTCAGTGCTAAATATGAAAACAGAAGAGAAGGACAAATCATCTGATCTCTTCCTGTAGATCCCATTCTGAACTGAATGAGATGTACAGATGCATATTTCTTTTTCATATTCAGGAGCTGAACTACTATAACAGCTGTGGGACCAGGTGGGTGCAATCAGGACATGATCAATGCATTTACTGTATGTTTTCATATTCTCATCAGTCATAAGAATATGAACTAACAATATGATTCCTGTTTGTGGCTATAAAATACCTCAAAAGGAGCTTTGGATTTATTAACAAGCCCTAATACCAAAAAATAAAAGAGAAAGAGAGCGGAAACCCAGAAATACCAGACTCCTTTCTTTTTCATACCAAGGGTAGTCATGTGTAAATCTGTTCTTTAGTTTCCCGTGGATCCTTTTATATTATATTGCTTAATCTCAATAGAGCATGAGATGAATAGGCCATAGTCAGACATGGACAATAGAATATTAGACATCTTTTACAAACTAACCAGTACAATAACAGTGCGTGTGTGATTCTAAACCCATTGACCTTGAGGTTTACAGGGTTATTAAATGTGAGCTTTATTTTTTCTCAAGGCATGCATAAAATTGGACCTTAGTTTCCAAGCAGTAAGAGGCTTGTTAGATTAAAGGCCTTTTATGACCAATTTTGAATATTTGGCACATAACAATACAAAAGTCCAAAATATTGTACTGCATATTTGTGTGTGTGTGTGTGTGTCCAAAATTATTTCTGAGATTGACAAATACCTTCTTTTAGACTTAGTGAAAACAGTTTTGGCAAGACAATTTATTTGTATTTAAAAATATATGTTTAAAAATGAAATGAAATATGACTTTTTTTTAACTGTTTTTTATCAAACATAATTAAAAATACATTATATATAATAATGTTGATGTGATTATATGTGTATGTGGGTGTGTTAATGTGTACCTCTGTCAATGTGCTCCATAGTCCTCCATATAAATCTGTCGTGCTCAGGCCTGGCGGTGTGAGAATCGGTCTGGTTATCTGTCCTGTCGGTGTGACTGGTCTGCTTCTAGAGCGCCCGTACACCCGTTCTTTGTTCCCGTGGCTTCCGGCAGTCAACGAGTGCATCATAAGACTATTGGGGGTCAAAGGTCTGCTGGGCGTCCGTGCTCCACTAGGGGTTTGGGCACGGCTGCTTTGGTTGCTGGGAGATGTCCGGCCCATGACTAGGCTTGTGGGTTTAGTGTTGTGAAGTGGCAGGCCTGTGGTCTTTGTGGAAAGGCTGCTGGGAGACTGTGGTCTGGACGTCTGTCCGAGCACAGGCAGAGTGTTAGTGGTGTGGAAGAGGGGGTTTAAAAGCAAACTCCTATGAGGGCTGTTTGGACTTCGGTTCAGCTTCCCTTGCTCTGCCAGCTTGGCCAAGTCCTTCTCCACCTCTGAAGAAATCAAGACAATAAAAGCAATGAATCACCATCTAGGGGACAATAACAGTTATGGCTTGTAAACATTTCGGTCATAGGTTATGTGGGACATGACCAGTGTTGGGGTAACGTGAGTTACGTAATCAGATCACTTTTTTCAAGTAACTAGTAAAGTAACACGTTATTTTTAAATTTACAAGAAATTTCTGAGTTACTTTTTAAATAAGTAATGTCAGTTACTTTGTTTCCAAATGTATTCACTGACACCTCTCCTGTTCCTGTGTTAAGAGAAACTGGGAGTGAGGTTCAGAAGCACTTCCTTCAGCCTGAGGCTTATTAAATTAACTTTTGATGTGAAAAGGCCTTTACAGTTGCCAAAAATACAACTTTTGGGCTTTTTAGTTATTAAAAATAAACAAGCAAGCCCATCTCAGGTGACAAAAAGTAATGCAAAAGTAATGTAATGCATTACTTTCCATTAAAGGTAACTGAGTAATGCAATTAGTTATTTTTTATGGAGTACAATTATATTATGCATATGAGAAAGAGTGGACATTTTAGCCAAGTATGTTTGACTTTTGTATGCTCAGCTATAAATCAATGTGTTCAATAATTTATAAAAAAAATACATATATTTGTTATTCCCAGAAATTGCCGCACACTAATTTTTTTCAGCATGTATTCTGATTCAACACACTAACAGCCTTAAAACTCATCAGTGTACTGATGTGGAGTACTGACTCAGCACTCATAGATTCCCATTAACAAACCACCAAAACAATTTCCTGAAGTTTTGCAGAGGTCTTTTAACAGTCATGGCAGCAGTATTTATTGTCAGTTGTAAAGTGTAAATTGGATGGCATGTTTACTTTGTACGAGTACAAGAGCGGTTTAATACGACCTGCTTCATGTCAATATATTTGTTTGCTTGGTAGCAAGTCAAATATTTTTGTTTATGCGAGTCTGTTGAACATTTTCAGATGGAACATCTGGACGCGTCAACCAGTGTTCAGTCTGAGAGGAACTGAGGATTCGGAGGAAACAACATGTGACATATTATAAATAGTATGTACAAGTTTGATTTGTGTTTCAGAAACCTTGACTACTTGACTTGTAAGCAAACAGTTCTTTCTCCGGAGAAACGTCATGATACTTTTCAATATGAAACACATGCACGTTGTCCAGATTACTAATGTTATAGTGCAAATTCTCATTTTGCATAACACAGCTCTTGTAATTACTTCCCTTTACGGAAACTATTCCAGATTGTTGTGATATATGATACAGTTAATTGTGTGAATGGATAATTAGATTGTTTTGTCTGTAGTCAATCAGAAGTCATTTCAAACCCCTGTGGCCCCATTTAAATGGCATACAGGAACTTTTTCCAGCGATTTCTCACCTAAACACATATGTGGCGGATAGGATTTTCTGTGAAATTATTACACAGACATAAATCATTTGTGATGATGGCAAACCCTACCAAATAAAGACATGAATAAAAAAAATTATTTCTGTGTCCGTGTTTAAAATTTCCCACATGAAATTTAAAAGAGTTTGCAGTTGAGCTCACGGGTCCTAATGAGTCGATGCTGGAGGCTGAGAACCCAGGAGTCACAATTATGTTCACTGTAAACATCACACACACATAAACAATTATTCATCACGAACGGAAGATAGTAATATGCATGCTAATAAGCAACTAGTTAAAGAGATAGTTCACCCAAAAGTGAAAATTCATCATCATTTACTCACCCTCATGTCGTTATTGACCTGTAAGAGTTTCTTTTTATGTTGAACATAAAGATATTTTGAAGAATGCTGGTAATCAAACAGTTGATGGTCCCCATAGGGTATTTCTTTCCCTACTTGTCAAAGAACGACATGAGGGTGAGTAAATGATGACAAAATTTTCATTTTGGGGTGAACTATTCCTTTAAAAGTGAGAATTGGTCCTTAAAATAAAGTGTTACTGAAGCTACTGTAGTGACGAAGGATGATAGCATGTATAGTGACCCTAAGACTAAAAAAGACTTTAGAGAGTTAACAAGAAGCAGCACATCTAATCTATTATAAACAGCTCGTGATCAAAAAAAGCAAATGCGCTTCCCACAAGGCTACAATCCTCAAGCACGCAAACACATCATTTAGAACATATGCAACCTTATTGATTCCCGACTTTCTCCCTACATATCTACACGTTCAAAACGTTCATCTTGCAGAGCAAGAGAGAGAGATCTGAGGAATTCCAGCTAGCTGAAAGTGATGCTTTATTTATCCAAAAGTGGCGTAAAGCTTTTCTCTGCCATTAAAAAAAACAGGCAATAACATTGTGCTTTGGGCACAAGTCAAATATCAAGCTCTTAAATTCCTAAAACAAAAACAACGCAGCCTGATCGTAAATTAAAAGGAGTCTTGAGGATTTAGTTGACCACATAATTGAGGTAATAATGAGATAAAAGAAGAAGCCTGGCTTTCAACACAGAGAACATTAACAGCTAATAAAAGCATGAAAGGGGTAAATTAGGCTGTTGAATGAAGCTAATGCCTGGTCCTATGGGGATGACTCTGTTCAGATATAACTCAACAGACAAACGGCTTTAAATCAATGCCATCTGAGAGCAGGGATGACTTTTCCCGCAGAGTGATGTCAGAATAAGCTTCCCGCTGATTGAGTCACAGAATAACAAGCACACTTGATACAAATAGATAAACACTTCCCACATACACGTTCATGTTGCCCTTTAATATTTATAGCGAGAAATGTGAGAAAGATTTTTCATCACAACAGGCAATTCAAAATAGCCTAATTGTTGTACCATTGCATTACAATTCCAAAATCCAATGCATGTATTAATACAATAAATATAGGCCTGAAATAATTTATTAATGATTGTTATTAAAGAAAATTTATTTATTTTGTATTTAGTCAGTTAATTAAATATTACATATATATAACACATGTGTGTGTGTGTGTGTGTGTGTGTGTGTGTGTGTGTGTTTGTGTATGTGTATGTATTAAAAGAACTGGCTTCAACAAAAAAAACTCTAATTGTTAATAAACAAAAGGTCGGAATAATTTATTAATAACTGGAAATTTAGATATTTTTTTGATAATTTTGCATTTTTATAAAATATTTGATCCGTCACACTATATAAAAGTTTGAAGGTACAGCTTTTAATTTTAAAATGATATTTTTATGTCATTGAATTAATTTAATTAATTGTGTGTGTGTGTGTGTGTGTGTCTGTGTGTGTGTGCGTGTGTATATATGTTATGAAAATTCTTTAGTATTTATATTTATATTTTTAATTATTAATGTTATTTCTGTCATCTATTTACAGACATACAGACAGACACGAATATGTAGCTTTTGCACACATACTTAGCTAAATCAGAAAACATTATGCGTGCAAAAGCTACATATTCGTGTCTACTTTGCTAAGGTTGATAACATTTCGTGTTTAAATGTCACCCTCCCACATCCACACACACATACACACAGCTGTTGCCCTGATGACTTAGTGAGAGTGCCCTTCTTAAATACTTAATATGTTTCAAATGTATTCGACGTGCGACAGCGAATTGAAATAAAAAGCAGTACATGTATAAACAAACAACTGTGCGACACATGTTGGAATGCTTGATGCTGTTTGAGCCTTTGATTTTGCCCAATGCTTTCAAGCGGTTACCAAACAAAACGAACGTTGCACGCACACACACACACACACACACACACACACACACACGTCTAACAAAGGTCTGCGAGATCAAACCATCAGCTGAGTTTGATCATCTACAGACAGAGATTTGTCAGTTCACAGCGACGCTAACAAGCTAGTGTGGTGGTGGCATTATTAAATCAATCAAAGATGGTCACCGTTTTTCACAACATATTTGATAGGTGGATCAGCTTTTAATTAGCCAATCAGACACCTTCATCCCTGTATTCGCAGGCAGACTTTCACATGTGTGGCCTTTGACAGTGTCAGGCTGTAATGGAAAGGTGGCCTGTTTTATATGCGTGTGGGTGTCTGTGTGTTAAAAACCTACCAGCAAGATGTTTGCCCATGTTCTCCAGTTCTTTGGAGAAAAGCGAATCCTGGAGTTGCAGAGCACGTCTGGGCGTCTGGGGGCTCGTGCCTCTGATCGGCTTCACATCCGATGCCCAGACAGGGTGACGCTATGGCACACACACACACACACACACACAAAAAACAGAGTCGCATTAGCTTTGAATTTCACTCCTTTTTTACATATGACTTATGGTTAAAACACTGTGCCATATCTGTTATAATGAGGGTCAATTATTTTTTAAGAGAAATTAGAAAAACACTGAAAACCACAGATCTTTGGGATGAAAGTCTGGATGGCGGCAAGGACTGAACTTTTATTTGTGAACACTGTGCTAGATGTTCAGTAGTGGTTACAGGATTTTGAAGTAACAATCAATAAACTCTAGGGATCCGAGAACGGATGACGACAGGCAGCGTAGAGATCCTGCTATTACTATTTTGCGATAATAAACTTGCGGTTTGGGGATTAAGAATACAGCCTTTCAATTCAAGACTAAGGAGAATAAACCATAACAATAGATGAATCAAAATCATATTGGTGTGTAATGATTTTGCTTATTGCTAACATGCATACTTGCCGGGCAACGCAAGAAACACTGTTTTTATAACAAATCTAGTCTTATTACTGGACTGGCACTGGTTTGTGGGATGCAAATGCTAAATGTTGTTACAGCAGGGCACTGAACCCCACACAACAAAAAGAATTATAGATATATATTCAGTCACGCTTTATTTTAAGGTCCAATTCTCGCTATTAACAAACCATTAACTATGACTTTGGCCTCAATAAACTCCTAATTTGCTGATTATTAATAGTAAGGTAGTTGTTAAGTTTAGGATTAAGGATGTAGAATATGGTCATGCAGAATATGTGCTTTATAAGCACTAATAAACAGCCAATATGTTAGTAATATGCATGCTAATAAGCAAGTTAATAGTGAGAATTAGTCCCTACACTAAAGTGTTAACAATTATTCTTATTTTTCTTAACCTTCATATTAAAGCCAAGTAGCCAACATTAGGTATTGTATTTCAGTGGTAACCAACTGAGAGGCCAAGATGCTTTATAAACAAGAGCTTAAAAATATTTAGCATAGCTAGCAAGCTAACTGGTTAGCCTAACTACTGATAACTGTGTCAAAGACACTAGAAGGTAAGCCTGCAACAATTAGCCGAAAAAGCGTAACGGTTAAAGCTAACACTTCCGGTCTGGCAGTACGCGGGAAAGGAGACCAGAGGCCCTTTTTTCGAATGGATGTCAATGGAGGAGAGGCTTCACTACGCTGAATAAACAGCTTTTTAGAGGAAACGGCTTATCATTTAATAAATCGACAGCCTATCTGCTAATCTTCAACTAAATAATACTTTTGGATTGAAATAATTTTAGAGTTTACCATGGGAAAAATTCAGTTTTATAAGAGAAGTCACTGACTTTTTGCAACAGGTGGGATTCAGCTTACGCCATTTCTCATTCATTCCTATGGTATCCGTAAACGGCAATTGAGTTTCGCACAACTCTGACTGAAATTCAATGACGTCAAGGCTGTAATTTTATTGGTTATTAAGGCACACATGATCCAAGTTAGCCGTTACGCTTTCTCCAATAGTAAGTAATACAGACCCTCTCATCTCCCTATAGTAAGATAGTCTCTGACTGTGTGTCATGCACTTTAAAACATGTTCTTGTTGTTTGTTGTTCTTTGGGAAGTTCTAGGGGGAAAATAGGATTTACACAAGGTAAAACATGTTAAACAAAACTGAAATACTCTATTTTTACTAGTAGCATCATCAAAATAAACAAAATATTTGATCACACTTCATTTTAAGGTCTAATTATCGCTATTAACAAACCATTAACTGTGACTTTTGCCTCAATAAACTCCTAATTTGCTGCTCATTAATAGTTAGTAAGGTAGTTGTTAAGTTTAAGTATTGAGTAGGATTAGGGATGTAGAATATGGTCATGCAGAATATGTCCTTTATAAGTACTAATAAACAGACAATATGTTAATAATAGGCATGCTAATAAGCAACTGGTTAATAGTGAGAATTGGTCCCTATACTAAACTGTTACCAAATATTTAATAAATTAGCACATAAAGAACAAAGGATGTAGTATTTTTTGAATGATGTGTGTTTAAAGCCTTAAAAAGTCAAACGACTAGAGAAAGAGCGAAGAACAATTTTAGAGAAAAGTACTGTACAGCTTTCATATAAAACATTATACTATAGTCTAGTACACTATAGAGTTACACTATAGGCTAGCAAGCTGCTTCCTACTGTGAAGGAAATAATCTTTGGTAAAGCATTACATGAAGCAATATGTTTGCTACTAAGGGACAGCATTACATTATAAGTCAAAACCCCGTAAGATCATCTCACATCAATTGCCAGATCATAAGCAGAATCGTATATATCCCAGCAAATACATACACCGGTCCCACTTTATATTAAGTGGCCTTAACTGCTATGTACTTACATCAAAAAATAAGTACAATGTACTTATTGTGTTCATATAATATTGCAAAAAACTTTTGCTGCTATTGAGGTGGGATACGGGTAAGGTTAGGAACAGGTTTGGTGGTATGGGTAGGTTTAAGGGTGGGTTAAAGTGTAAGGGATGGGTCAACAGTATAACTATAAATGTAATTACAGAAATTAATTACAGAAGTAATTACATGCAGGTATTTTAAAAAATATAATTACAATGTAAAAACATGTAAGTACACAATAAGTGCATTGTATCAAATTATTAATTTAAATGTAAGTACATCGTAGTTAAGGCCACCTAATATAAAGTGGGACCCATACACCCTGTTACGGAACTGCTCTGAGACTGAGTGAGGATCCAAATGCAGTGTTTATTAGGAAAGTCCAGAATCGAAATCAGACAGCAGGCAAGGGTCAACACACAGGCAAACAGTCCGACTAAACAAGGCAGGGAACACAGGCAAAAGGGTTATCCAGAACACAGGCTAAGAGTCCAAAAACCAAGATACATATAAACAGGAGAAACGCTCAGAGATGCAGTGTAACATTTACAAGACTTCGCAAAGAATGACAAACTAAACCAGACTTATATAGGGTGAGCAGACAGGGTAAATGAGACACAGGTGCAAACAGTGAGTGTTGATGAGTCCAGGCAAAGGATTATGGGAAATGAAGTTTTTGATGGAGTGGTAAAGTCCGGGATGGGGTGCCCTCTAGCGAAGCTCACGGGCACTCCAGCTAGAGATCATGACACAAAAAATAAGTACAATGTACTTATTGTGTTCATATTGTATTGCAAAAAACTTTTGCTGCTATTGAGGTGGGATACGGGTAAGGTTAGGAACAGGTTTGGTGGTATGGGTAGGTTGAAGGGTGGGTAAAAATGTAAGGGATGGGTCAACAGTATAACTATAAATGTAATTACAGAAATTAATTACAGAAGTAATTACATGCAGGTATTTTAAAAAATATAATTACAATGTAAAAACATGTAAGTACACAATAAGTGCATTGTATCAAATTATTAATTTAAATGTAAGTACATCGTAGTTAAGGCCACTTAATATAAAGTGGGCCCATTTATTTTTATTTATTTATTTGTTTGTTTGTTTCCCGTTTTATGTTACAATACATACACAAATGTACTTTTTTTGTGTGTGTTTTATTTTCATTGCAACTTTGGGAGCACTGTGCTGGATCAGATTCCTGTGTTATTGATGGAGTGGTAGAAGTCTGGGATGGAGTGCCCTCTAGCAAAGCTCACGGGCACTCCAGCTAGAGATCATGACAGAGCCCCCCCCCCTTAAGGAGCGGCTTCCAGACACTCCACTATCAGTCCACGGTGGAGTTGACGGAGGGAGGAACCATGAAGGGGGTGACACTGGAGGTATCAGGGGTCTGACTGACGGAGACGGAGCCGGTGTAAGGGGAGCCCAAGGCGGAGACGGAGAGCCGAAGAGCCGGGGTGACACTGAGGGATCAGAGGGCCATGGTGGAGTCGAAGCGCAGGTGGGGATCCGGAAGGCCGCGGTGGAGCCGGAGTGACTGAGGACCAAGGCGGAGCCGGAGGGAGAGAAGAGCCCAATGGGGTCGGAGGGACGAGGCGAAGCCAGAGGAGTGTATTCTTGAGGGGAAGGCGGGTCGATAAATGACCAAGGTGGAGCCGGAGGAACGAGGAAGCCCGGCGGTGCCAGTGGAATGACGGACCACAGTGGAGACGAGGGAGCTTTAAACCAAGGTGACACCAACGGGTCGACGGACCAAAGTGGAGTCCAGGTCTCGAAGGCTGGAGATGGAGATCTGGGATCCTCCAACTCTGGTGCAGCTGGAGGCTGACTGTCCCGTGGCGAATCCTGATCGCTAACCACCCTCGAAGGATGACCTGAGGGACAGACAGAAAACAGCGGACAGAGAACAAAGAACATGACAGGCAGAGGAGGAGGGAGAGGGAGGTTGGGTGGGACAACAGGTTCATAACCAGGTTTCTTAACCAAGGCAGAGCTGGGAGAGAGTTTGGAGATGGTCACCCTGACCGTTACAGGACAGTGAGAGAGTTCACAAACGGCCTCCTTGGCCGTGGCTGGACAGACAGAGAGTTCATAAACAGCCTCCTTGGCCATGACTGGACAGGCAGAGAGTTCACAGATGGCCTCCTTGGCCATGACAGGACAGGCTAAGAGTTCAAAGGCAGACGTCGCTGCCTCTGGAGGTTCTGCAGCACAAGC